CAAAGCCCTAAAAGTATATGTAAAGGAAATTATTTTGTTTTGGATAGTGTGGGGGAGATTTATACCATCTGCCAAATAATGTAATGTGTCCCTGCTGAGGATAGTCATCCCTCTGTTTATCCTGGTGAGACAGATAGTGAGGGGAAATCCTACATTCTAGAATTGTCATCAGAACAGAAGGTGAGGAGGTATAACCAGCTGGGGACAACTGTTACCGGAGCAACTAAGACTTCTATCACTTGGGGAAATTTACTCTTACTTCCTGTTGCATCTCTAGGAAAAGAAGTGAAGGGAAATCCCTCCAGTGGGAACTAGGCAGCAAAAAAAATAACCCAATGTTTTTTTTTTAACCCTTTCCTACTCTATCCATAACTAAAAAAAATGTAGGCACTTACAAGGAACCTGTGCGCAAAGAAACATCTGTGCTCCTTTTCTGGAATGCTTTAAATCAGTTGTAATCCTAAATTAATTGGCTTTCATTCCGAGTCACTGACCCATATATATGACCCAAAATGACATCCAGACTAGCATTGTCAAGAGGTCAGCAATGGCAGTCTCCTACTACAGGTTTTCTGTAAAGCAAACCTAACCACAAAGAAACTTCATTGTGCCAAAAATCAGTGATGCTCAAAAATAAGAAAAAATCCATGGCCAAATGTCAGCAGAAAATAGTTTCAAGAATTTGTACACACAGTAAACTGCGGTGATTGCCCCTCGAGGTTCTCGGTAGCGAATTTGCATGTAGTGGGCTCAATTTATTTGATTTAGAAACTACAAAGAAGATAAATAATCCCTGAGTGCCCCCTGCTGCTGAAACAGAAAAATGCTTCACATAAACTAATTGGGTAATATACACAATAAGTATGTATTCACTCAGTGAACACCTATTATGTGCACCAATATAAACCAAAATAGGAATTCAATTTGAACATGACTGAGTGAAAGTGAAAAATGTTCTTCAACGTTAATTTCACGGATAACATTTGGCTAACCTTCAATGCTGCAAAGAGTATCAGGATTGACAAGCCAGTGGAAGATGTAGCTGAAGTGCCCTCTGCTGTCTGAAGTACGTTAAGCACTTTTGCAGTTGCAGCGCTAATCTGATTGAAATACCCATAGCACATAAAATGTAGATCTAGGATTTGAAGGAGAGGGAATACAGGCCCATTTACACCTATGCACATGTATTGCACTGTTACCACATGTAGGTGTAAATGCGCTGTCATAGTTTTCCTCTAAAACACACTAAACTGAAGAGCATGGATGTGAATCGGACACATAAGAATAGAATTTCTATTTGAAACATATTTTCATGCACTGTTGGAAGTGTTAGTAGGGCCTTGGGGTTTTCATAAGACACATAGTTGGCCATGTTCTATAGACACTGCTGACATACAGAATGGGTTTCTACAGTTCCTGTCCCAGCTGTAGATGTGTTCCCAGGCATCCTCTTTGATCTGACCCATAAGGTAACATTCTGTGCTGCATGCGACAGTTGGGAACCTGCAGCAAGAGCCAATCAAATGCCAGACAGATTATGTCCCTGCACACTCCGCAGTAAACAAGACATTATTACACTGGACAGCATAATAATGTATGTTGTTCCACCAATGAATGACCTTCCAAAGAGCCTTGCTAATGACTCAAGCAAGAGGCCTGTATGCTGTGTAAAATGACTGAGGTCCAAATAAAATGTGTCCATAAGATATTCCTGATCTAAAGTTTCCATTCTGAGTTGATGCCAGGGAAATGAATTATCTACTGGCTTCATAACTGTCAGGCAACGTAGGATAGAAAATGGCCTGCTGGTTTTGTCCCTCTACGACATTGGAGTCTTCCCTCTCTCTTGCTGTATTCCCCAGAAAATAAATTAAATAACAACCCCCCTCAGAGAACCTGAACTGTGGTCTCTCTGCCCAAAAAAGGCAAGCGAAGGGCAAAGGACTAGTCACCAGTATTGTCAATAGGCCCCCTGGAGCTGATGTTTTCCATATTACTGACTTACCATGCTTGTCCTGCACTGTGTCTAAAGAGGCAGGGCTTTGCAATCTCATATCTGAGCTGCCCCATGATGACTGGTGGGCTAGTGATCAAAAAGCAGCAGAAGAGGTGAAGGTAGCAAAGATTCACATAATGAATTCTGCAGAAAGAAATCCTTGCACTACATGTCCTCAGGTGCAGCTTCCTCTCCAGCAAGGAAAACAGTGAGCAGCAAAGTAGTGACATCACCAAATCTCACTCCAAATCTGCTAAAACTGGCAGCCAGAGGCACCAATGCCTGAGATGATCTCACATTGCAGATATGCAGCTATAAGGCTGTAGGCAAAGAAGGTGCACGGCTATTTTTCAGTAGGAATTCCAGACAAAATGTACATCTTCTAGGACACTAATTAGGCCAATAAACATTTCCAGATGTTCCCTATAAGATTGCAAATATTCATGATTTGAGTTCTACTCCACTTTAAAGCAGAGGTGTAATTCCAGAAATTTAAAAAAAAAAAAATGTACAAGACATCATACCTTCTTGGACACAAAGTTAAACCTGCACCCTCACTTCCTGTGCTAGGGAATAAAGCCCATAGGGAGAGGACCAAGCTCTTCTGATTTTTGCTTACATGGTTATTCACCAAAGGGGGAAGAGTTTGGAGAAGGCAGGAGAAGAGAACAATCTAGGACAACATAGCCGATTTGGACAAGTTTTCCAATTCAGCTCACTTTCCTAGATTGTTCTCTTCTCCTGCCTTCTCCAAACTCTTCACCCTTTTGTGAATATCCGTGTTAGTGTTCTTCCTTCTAAGGACGGCACTAATACCCCATGGTCTGCTGTGTACCCCATTGAACGTTCAGAGAAATGAGCTGTGCCATTCTCAGCTTGTTTTTGAAGGTATCCGTTCTCCAGGGGGGTCTTTGCAGTGGCAGATCCCATATTTCGATCTTGAAGCATACACCAAGGCCTTGTACATTTGAGCTCCAGCTTTTAGAAGACTGGTGTGTACAGCAAGCTTTTTATAAACCATTTGCGAAGCTTTCAGCTAGCTTTGTTGGAAACATTAAAACAATCTTCAGCTCCAGTTAAACACAAATTTTAATGTGGCGTGCTTTCACTTTACATTGGCAGCTTTAAGTAAGCTTCAGCACTACTAAAAACTTGATTAAAGCCTGCTTGCAGCTTTCACTGTACTCCCATTCAGATATGTGCTCAACGTGGAGCAGAAGCAGGTTTTACAAGCTTTAATAAAGCTGCTCAAAGCTTGTGGTACACACTGCTCTTATACAAGGTGGAACCTGTGGGAGGAAAACCTTAGAGTTACCCTGGGAATCCAGGTACAGATGCCTCACCAACAATAGAAGATGATTGTGGGCGACTCATAGCTATTTATCTCTCCCTGATTTGGAAAAACATTACAGCACCCAGGTACAGCAAAGAGTAGTTTGCCCTTACCCTGCACACCATTATCATAGAATGTGCCAAAAGAACAGTTACTATTTGGAATCAAAGAAAGCCCTTGGAAAGCTCCAAGCTTCTGATTGGTTGGTACAAACAACACAGAATAGACATCAGCCAATCATTTTGACAATCTGCTGGGATATGTTCATGCTATATGGAGCAATCTGGGACTGATCCTATGGATTGTGAATCCAGCAATCTTAATACATAAAACAACAAGTCCACCAAATGGCACCATCAAGCAGAAAAGCAAATTGACCTGTGTTATATGCTATGTTTTCAGCCTAAAAAATGTATTTACTACAGACCATTCATTAGCAACACATTTTGAGGACACATCCAAGTGTTTTGCATAAAATTCTGGGTAAATGTGGACTGGTTGAATCACACGGCCATCTTACAGTATATTTTAGAGGTGCACCGAAATGAAAATTTCAAAACCGAAAAAAAAATTTAAAAAATTTAAAAAAAAGTCAAGCTGAAACCGAGACGTTTTTTTATTTTAACTTTTTCCAATATTTTATTTTTTATAAACTTTTACATTTTTTTTATATTTATTAAATATTGTTTTACGGGCTTTGGGGAGATATTAGGGGTCTAAACAGACCCCTGATATTTCTCTTTTAAAATAGAAAAAAAGATTGGAGGACACAGAGTCCTCAATCTCTTTTTCTGCATCCCCTGTTATCAATGAACAGGAATCCTGAGTGTTCCTGTTCATTTATAACATGTGGATATAGTGTGTTTACTATAACCACAATCAAGAATGAACAGGAGGTGATGTAGATCACTTCCCACTCATTCATAATTGAGGATATAGTAAACATACCATGTCCTCAATTATTTACACTCCGTAAACACTGATCACTGTATGCATTGGCTCTCCTTCCTGACACGCTGTCACAGGAGGCTGAGCGAGCGGAGCAGGGAGGAGAGATCAGCCTGCTGTGACAGTGCGGCCTGTCTCCGCCCACACACCGCTCTGCCAATTTGTGACAGGAGGCTAAGCGGTGTGGGAGGAGAGACGCCGGCCGTTCACAGCACTCTCCTCCTGCAGCTTTTGGCCGCTGGTGACAGTTTCTCTCCTCACCGCTGGGACACAGAGCAACGCCCAGCAGGGAGGAGAGAAATCACGGATGCACCGCTGTATCGGCCAGAAAATGGCACTTTCGGCATTATGCCAAAAGTGCCATTTTTGCCCAATATGTTACGGCGACTGATATATCGGTGCATCACCAATATACATCTCACAAACTCTAACGGGGAGATTTGCCAAGTGGATTTCCTAGCGGTGTGGTACTTTCCAGGTTTCACTTTTCCTGGTATAATATATGTATAGGCCAACAAAACAAAAGCCTTCTGATAATGGTTATAGCAGGGGATGGAGCCAGGAACTCCAATTCAGTGAATTTACTACCATGGTTTCCAAAAGTTAGAAGAAGCCAGTGGGCGATACCTCCTGTCAGCGCCTTTTAAAAAAACTTAAAATACTAGTTTTAGATGGACTGACTTCTGGCTATCAATTCAGGGATTGGTCAGAAGGAGACATATCTTATATCAAAATAGGTTTATTTTGAACAGAGTTTAGTCCATGTCACTTCACCAATGCCAGGCTCCACAGATACCCAAATAAAACTTTGATAGTGAAACAATGAAAACAATGCATTAAACCTGTGAAATTGGAGAAAAAAAAAGAAAAAAATGTTCAAGGCCTCAAAAAAAAAAAAAGGTTCTACTACACATGCTACATCATTTGTATGAGACTGCAGTGGAAGAAAACAGAACAAAGTATTGTCATTAAAGTGCTTATTTTTTTGTTTGTTTTGAAGATGTAGTTAACAAAAACCTTGGCAAAATACTATACAATTGGATTTCTTCGTTAAAGGAAGTTCCCTTTGTTACACGATCACATTGCCATTTAGTGAGAGGCTGCCAAGAGGAAATAGACGCTGAGCCAATCAAAATCCTCCAACATCTACAGTGTCCATTACCAATATGCAGAGACAGAGAGAGAGAGCACCAGCAAAACAATTTCCATGTAGAAGCGCAGTGATAGGATGAGCTCTGAACGACAGCAAAATGATTTTATTGTGTTCACAATTATCGTCCAAAAAAGACAAGTTCAGACTGGTCAGCCGGGTCCTCAGAAATCGTCATCTGATGTGTCAGTGCTGCTGGTCTCCGTGTCATCGTTTTCATCTGTGGTTGTGAAAGTACTGTTTCTCCAGGGATCGAATTTTAATTCAAATGAAAGCCCGTTTTTCAGGAGACTACTCTTCCTCAGCCCATTCTTCTGCAGCTGTGAAAAGGTAAAACACTTGCTCTCAACAATTCAACATTACCAACTGTCTTCCGAGATGCAGTAAAACCTTTTCTTTGTAGTTTGCTACACAAACCAATAAGGAACATTTGTTGTAACCACCGCAAAATCCCACGATGCAGTGCTCAGGCCTAGTGGCCAATTTTCAGGCCCACACAGTGTAGCACGACAGAGGAAGTGACATCATCAACCCCGTGTAAGCTCTGACACCATGTGCATCGCCTGCGATGGAGGAAGGAGCAGTGGGGGCGCGCTGTGAAGGGAGTATAAGAGGGTCAGGGGTTAGCTTTATAGAGACTCTGTCACTTTGCCCTATCTGGACTTGCTGACAGTCTCTTTAAAGTGAATTTCCACTTTTGCAGTGTTCCAAACTGAATTACAACTATTAATGAAATCTGTCAGCACAGTACAGGCAAGGTATATTATGGTAAATCCAGAGCCCCCTCAGTAGCTTTGCATAGGGAGAAACTAGGCAGATTTTTTTTAAAGTAAAAAAACAAATAAAAATATAAGCAGCAGTTTATTTTAACTTCTGATATGTAAATGAGAACATGTAACAAATAAAAATTGGTGTTAGCTCAATTTGGCTGAAAAGGTGGAAATACACTTTAAAGCTGCTCCCATCACACTGCAAGGGTTACATTTCTTGTTTCATCGGGGGTGGAGGGGACATAAAAAGCATCTATGGCCTTAGTCACACCGGCACTGTCATTCATACGGCATTTCTAAATGCATGCAATGATTTTAAATTTCAGTGCGTCCACTTGCATTTAGGTGCTTTCAGGTTTGTTTGTTTGTTCAGGTAACGATTTAACAATTCAAAGTTTATTAAGTAAATCAAAGTACACAGGTTCATGTCATTCACAATCAAATTGTACAGAAGACTTCAAATCAGCAAAATCAGAGTGAACATGCAGCAGTGTAAAAACATTAGATAAAAGAGCAATATCTTCACCTATAAACGAAACATTCTGTGTGGTTATAAAAGATGTAATTGTATTAAAACCGTTGAGAAAGTACACTGCAACCAAGGAGTTGTTGGTCACCAAAAATGCCCAACAGACATTCAGACCTTGGGGAAGGCAACATTACGGAAAATACATTTGGTAACATTTGGCCGAGAGGGTCTCATTTTGAGGCAACCCCATACCATGTGCAACATATCTCCATCTGCTACCTGACATTTAGGGCAAATGGGATCAGATTGTTTACCCATCTTCAGAGGTAAAGTAGGCCCTATGGAAGTGCCTTTACCCCTTCGTGACGGGAGACGTACACTGTACGTCCCGCCATAAAGGGACCAAATGACTCGTCACATACACTGTACGTGATGAGTTATTTGCTGCACTAGAAGGCTGGTAACCGCTGAGAATCAGCGGTTACCATTCATTAATGTATGCCTCACTATAGAGGCATCCATTAATGAAAGAGTTAACCTTTTTCAGACACCCGATACCTTAATATCGTGTGTCTGAGAGTCAAAGCAGAGCGGACACACATGCCGGCTTTTGCCGGCATTATGACAGCTCATATAGATCGAGAGATATCTCTCTCAAGCTATACTGGCTTTTTTTTTTTCCTTTCACTTTCAGGAATAGATACATAATGTATCTATTCCTGAAAGAAGAATGTTTCAGTTTTCTGATGGTTGTTGGAACAATCAGAAAACTAGTGACAGCTGAATCCTGAACTGCTGCAGGATCAGTGTCACTAACTTATTATCGGCTGTTCTGAAGTTTGAAGCAGCCTGATAATAACCAAAAATGTATTAATTTATCAAGCAGTAATAGTGAGATTAATTCACAATGACTGCTTGATATAATTAAATAAATAAAATAAAATTTTTAAAGTTTAAAAAAAATTGTGAAAAGTGTAAAAAAAATAAAATAAGGGACAAATAAATAAATGTATTTATTGCATTTTTTTTTAGCTGTGCTGGTTTTGTAAAAAAAAATACTACAAATCAAAACTGAGGAAAAAGTGTTTTTTTACATTTGTTTCCTCCTTTTTTTTATATTTTATTTGTCCTAAGTGAGGCGTTAGACACACATATGTGATATAAATATGTAGCCCTATCTGTCCTCTAAAAAACAATATATAATATGTGTGGGTGCACTTTGTAAGAAAGTATATTACTGACGTGGAAGAATCACACGGCAAAAATGTCAAAAGTGTGTCAGTTATTTACAAACAGAAACTAAAAACAAGCTCAGTCATGAAGGGGTTAAAAGGAGACCTATGAGGTGAGTGCTTTTCACTCACCTCATAGTTCTAGCCGACCTGTGACAATGAGACTGTCACAGGTCGGCTCAGTGGATCGGGAGGTGAGTGAACACATGCCGGTGTTCGCTCACTTCTCGATCCTGTCGCGGCTCTCTGCCATGACAGGGGAGGGGGATGGATTCCCCCCTCCCCGCTCCGTTCCGCCAGCGCTGACTGGCGGAACGGACGGTGGATGGGCGGGTACAGCTGGCTCTGCCTCTAGATAGGCAGAGCCAGCTGTCACTCACGCAGCTGGGCGGATCTCAACATCGATGTCGGGATCCGCTGCGGCGAGCGAGCCATAGCCGTATTTGTATTCCATTGCTCCTGTGTTCAGGAGAGATTGGATGGTTTTCCCCGCAGTAGGATACTATAAATCCAGACAGTTGGATCAGTACTTTTTGGAGTGCAGAAGGTTAAACTATTACCCCATTCAGTCCAAACTAGGCCTCGGTCAAATGTACAAATTGAATGTATATTAAGTGGCAGGTGTCGGATACTCCAAACTATTGCTTTAGAGCTAAACAGGACCTAAAAGTACCTTTAGAGTAAAATTGATGTATATATTTTTGTCTCACTCTTGCCTATTGAGGACCTGTAGGAGAAGTCAGAAAGTGTTCAATTTCTGAGTGACACCAAAATGGATTAGTTTGTGAAGTCTGTGGTATAATTTCCATGCACTCCGACATCACCTCCTATGATGCAGTACCAGCATTCCTGCATTGTAAGTGAGGATGCCAAGTGCCTATCCACAACCTAGAGTGTCAGAGAAAAAAGCTCCAGCTACAGGGGACGTCCCACTGCATGGGTCTTTTTTTTTTCTAATTCAAGGAAAGTGCATTATTCACTAACATAGAACATTACCTGCTGACTTATCACCTGGAACTCCCTCATCTCATCTTCTGTTAATGGTGCATACGTCTCATCGTTTTCACTGTCTTCCTGCCAGCCCATCTCCTTCAACAACCTGAAAGTCGCAACAGAAGTCACTACAAGGTTATGTTGGGTCATCTGATTAACACAAGCCTTCTCTATGCCTTCTAAAGTGAGAGATGTTAGACCTCAAGTCCTAATCACACAGACATGGCTGAATTCTAACATGTTAACACTAACCTAAAGGGCATTCAATTTACCAGACATTTACAAATCCTGCTACTACTGACCTTTCAATCCATAAATGCTAGGTGCCCGACTGCCATTCTGATCAATCACCCACTTTGCGTAATGGACCAAGAATATGTATGCAGAGAAGGAGCTTCTGATGTCACAAAAATGGCTTGCTAGATCTTTGTCTCAGGTCAGAGACTTAAAGTATTGAAACCAGGGCAGCACAGTGGCGTAGTGGTTAGCACTTCTGCCTTGTAGCACAGTGGGTCCTTGGTTTGAAACCTGGCCAGGTCACCATCTACAAGGAGTTTGCATGTCGTTCCTGTGCTTCTCCGGGTACTCAGGATTCCTCTCACACTCCAAAGACATGCTGGTAGGTTTTTCGGCCCTGTTTGTATGTATGCATGTGAAATAGGGACCTTAGATTGTAAGCTCCTTGAGGGCAGGGACTGATGTGAATACGAGTTGCGTAAATTGACGGTACTATATAAATACCAATAATAAATAAATAAAATAAACCATCAAAATAACAGGCAAGCAAGTGTCATTTTCAGGAGAAGGTAAGAAATAGCAGTGCCTGTATTTTCCAATGTACAAGCCTCATTTAGCTCCAGTCTGGGACTGCTGAACAGAGATCCTAAACAGCGTATATGCTGTAGGTTTAGAGAAGTTCTTTGGAGGCTTCAACAAGTTTCAAGCAGTATCCATAACTAAATACCATCTGTATTTGGAGAAAGCAAGCTACTAGATACCAACCTCAAAAGTCTATTCCAAATGAATTTTTTTTCAATTGTATATTAAAGTCATGGCAGTAAAAAAAAAAATTTGGTGTATGTTTGCAAGATTAGATAAGCCTTCCTTGTTATAATGACTTACATTAAACGAAGATCAGACCATATTTTAAAAGGGCTATTAATGCAAAAACTAAAAATATTCCTCACAGTTCACAAAACTTTTCTGAGAACTGCATTTTAAAGAGTACAGGTGGTAACAAGTGTGAAGCTCTGTAACTATATTTACTTGATGCCTTGTCTCTGATGGAAGAATGTTGGTGGATGAGCAGCCGACAATCCACATGAATGTGAGCACATCCAAAGAATAATCTGCTGGATCCCACCCACTGGTGCCATCAAACTGGGCTGGGTGCTGTCTAAAGAAATTTCACAAGTTGATGGGTGACAAGGCAACACTCAGCTTACCTGTGCTCTGCTTCCAGTGAACTTGATAGAACAACCTCCTGAGGGAAAGTAGAAGACCGTGTAATTTGTCTGGAAGTGAAGGAATTTCCGATCCCTTGAGGGATTTCAATCTGATCAAAATTCAAGTTAATGTCACGTTCCTGACAAATGTTTATTCTATTAGAAAAACTGGAAGAATCAACCTCCTGTAAGAACACAAGAAGAGATTAAAGTATATATGAAGCCAATTTTTTTATTCATTTTTTTAAATGCAAAAAAAAAAAAAATGGTTAAAACTCCTGCCAGGCATTTTTTTGCAAAATGTCCCATTGTGTCCCATTAATTACATTTCCCTTTTATATCCTCCAAGGTTTCTAAATTCATTACTTATACACAGTTACCTCTTGCACTGAAGTCTGAGATGCATCTGTCAAGTCACTATGTACAGTTCTATTTGGCCTGAAGGTTTCACTAGAACTTCCAATCTTGTTCTCGTCCAATAGTGCATTACTGTTCCCCTACAACAAAGATAACAAAAAAGAAAACATTACAAATGCTGCCAGTGAAAATGTTCCTCATCTTTGAAATCTAGTTCACTTCTGTCTAAAGATGCCAACATTAGGCTTATGACTATCAAAGACACTTTGCTTTGGACCGAATGCATCAGTATCTGGCAACCCCCAACAATCATGGCCATCAAACAACCAGGATGCATTCTTGTAAATATGTGACGTGACCACTTCTATTATCCCATGTATGGTTCAGATGTTCTAACCAGGTAGCTGAAGTCTAGATCACCATTTATGGCCTAATCTACTACCGTTCAGATTTGAACGCAACAGTTAGGCATGAAGGCAGCACAAACTGCCAGTGTATGGTCATCTTTCTAAGGTATCATACAGGACCTAATATACACATTATCTAAAATCCATTAGGTGCAAACATGAGGCCAATCTAAAACCGTTATATTCGTTTAAATACCCAGTCTACCCAAAAAAGAAAAGATTCCTTCTCTGGCTCCTGAACACTCTCATGACCCACCAAGAATGCAAGCTTTCACAAGTCTCCGCAGAAAGGAATTATCGTTTTTTTGTGGAACTAGAACCTCACCAACCATGGTGTGCAACCAGTTGTAGTTTGACTTCTCAAGATCGTTCCTCCAAAATATCGATCACCATACATGTCTTGATGTAAACTACACCCCTCAGTTGTGCCCAGATCCACAAAATAAATGCAGATTTAACAGTTCCTTCCCTAAAGAAAGGTCTGCAGTAGCTCACAGACAGAGGACATGTTGTACCTCAGGCAGATGGCTAATATGGTTGTATGTCCCCTGTTCATTACACCAACATCAAATACATTTCCTTAACTTTAACCTTAGTACAGTTCCCAGAACTCTTCCCCCCTTTTAAAAAAAAATATTTCAAACAGAATAATTACAACACACACGCATATAAAAACTAGATAGTAAACTGGTCTCATACCTGTACAATTCAAAAGAAGCATATAATTAAAAAAACTAGGGATGCACCGATACTTTTCGAGTAACAGTGCCGATACTTGGCATTTTCATGAGAACTAACAGGGTTGCAGCTGGGACCTAGCTCTGGTGCTCCACCACTGTCCTGAAATCATTAGTCGATATTGTTTTAGAAAAACTGTCACATGACAATAAACAAAAATGTATCAGTACTTGTATCTGTGAGGACTTGGACAAGTATCAGTACTTGTACTCGCAAAACTGGTATCTGTGCATCCCTTTATTTATATTTATAAAAACGAAATCATACATTAAAACAGAGATGTACAAATGACAGGAGCTCCGTGTGCTCCTTACAAATGACAGCTGCCTCCTAACTTTTGTATTTTTCTCTAGTCTAGTCTTGGAGCTGGAAAAGTATCTGTACTTGTGCTGTACTTGGTATCGGTGCATCCCTAAAAAAAAACCACTCATGCAGGTTTCATCATTGAAAAACACAATTGATAATTAGCTCTTGAGTTATAGGCGGCTGACATTAAATGCAATTCTTGACTTTTCCTGTGAAAGTCAAACTTTGCCCACCCTTTACTGCCCCTTGTGCCTTTCTATAGGCCTGTGTCGACAAGTGAATGCAACTTGCTTCCAGATGCATTTCACCTGCATTTGAGAGCAGCTTGAGGTGCTTTTGAGATCATTCACAGCTCACCCACAGGAATATTTTGGAATCAGGGCTAAGTCAATGTGTTATTTGTGGACAAAAATATATAGTTAGAACTAAATGTCACAAATATGTGTCATATGTGTTGCAAGTTCACAATAACGATCACAAGAAGGTTGGACATAACTGTGCCAAAAAATATGGGTGTTTGTGAAAGAAGGAAAGCAGGTGTGAGGTGTAACCTGAATAAGTTACCTCACAAGTCTGATGAAAATTTTATGAGAAATGGCTAACAACTCAAATTCCATGAATGTAATTGAATTGTTGGAGGAATTTCTGCGTGAGAGAAATAATAAATGGACGGTAACTAGCCGGAGAATGAAAGTCCCAGGCCACACCATCGGTTCATAGTAGCAACTCCTCAGTGCTGAAAGATGGAAGAGGAGGTGGTGGAAAGAGATTTTGTACACAAAAGAATATGTAAAAGAATAGCAAATTAACCACAAAAATGCACTTTTAGTCTGTACTTCACTCAATGTCACTCTGGAATTTACACCAATTATATAACCCTATTGTAATTTATATGTGACATTTGTATCTTTTTTATATTGCAAATTCAGATTGAGCTTCCTTATTCAATATTTATTTGTTTTTCTTCAAAATGAAAAATCACAAACGTCTGACAATATAAAACTCAAACATTGCGCACTCATTATCCAATGACACTCCCTACTTCTGCATCTGGCTTACTTTTTAGAAGGTTTTCAACTATAGAAATGATACACATGACTTTTGTTAATTTGCCACAAAAGACGCAACACTTCTAGTATTGGCGCACTAGTAAAACTACCTAGTTTGTTGAAAGAGGAGAACCCTCCCTCTTAAATAGAGTTATTGGTTTATTATATGGTGCAATGTTCCATCCCCGTTTAAACAAATGATAATTCCCCCACTGTCCCTTCACAGAAAAACAACGCAGTGCATCACGTTACCTTTGTAGGACTAGAATCTTTAGTTTCTAGATCCTTAGAGTTGTCCATCCCATTCTTCGCTGGTGGAATGCGGGTACTTGTTGTAATCGGATACCCAGAAAATGAGAAATCATCTTTCATCCCTTTTCTTATGACCAGCATTCGAGAACTTCTAGATTTAGAATTCAAGGGGTATTCTGCATGAAATAAAATTGTCACAGAACACAGTTTAAAAAAAACAACTGATTTTATTAAGATTTGCAGAAGGATCTAAAACTGCATTGAAAAATAATCTTTTCTGAGTTTTTTTTATTTACCATAGTTGCATTCACCTTAATCATTATTCACAGGAAATACGTTATTTTATTCATTTAGAATAGCAATCAAAGTTTCATAAGATTAACATGCATACCGGTATAGTAACATCCTATAAAATTAAGGAGATACTGCATGGGCAAGGTAACACTGTGCTTGGAAAGGGCATCTCTGACCACCTTATACTCTCCTTAACTGGGCTCCCTCAAAGTTCCTTGCTCCAGTGCAGCCAAGAGTGGTGAATGGGACATCCCTTCCCTGGTCATCACTGGCTGCTAGGCCCGTGCACCATTTGAGGGAAGTAGGTGAAATGCTCCACCATACCAGTGCAAGGTTGACAGTGTTCCTTAATATCCCTTTTAACTATTTTTCCCTGCCAGGCATGCATGCCCCACAACAGCATTATGCAGCTACCTTTGCAACTAGCCTCTGTATGTCTTGAAGCAAAACCATGCTTTGCCTATGCAAAGCAAATCAATAGATTAATTTTAATCCCGCTAGCCACCTGCATATACTTACCTTTGCTTCACTTTACCACCGCTCCTAAGCCACTGGGGGCAATGACAAACAGCCTGTAAGATCAGAGTTTAAGCATACTAAGGGCTACGGACCCTCTCTACCTCCCAGTGATGGCATGGGCAGGACACTAGTTTGCTTTTATCATGAACTTTGAGTCATCCCTTTTTATTCATAAACACATGCGAGCAAGAGTTGCATCTCTACCAACAGGAAGTATGCTGGCTTTCAGCATTTTACTTCTATGTGCCAGCATCCTTGACCTAAAAACAATCAACACATTCAGATACAAATAAAAACCAACCTGGTTCCAAGCTATTATCATCTTTCCTGATCAAAGTACAATACTGTGCTGAAATTGTGTTCTGCTATAAAAGATACCATGCAAAACTTCAATGCCAGTCGCAGAGCACCATCATTGTCCCTCTCAAAGGAGAAGCCCCTACATTGATGTGAAAAAAGAAAAAACGCTGTCCGTGTTCTAAGTGCTTGAGGGACAGAGCTGTTTATGCACAAAGAACAACAGAACTAAAAGCAGAACATGAAAGGATGGATTCTACAGATGTCAAGAACCTTGAACACGCTGGATACAATATAGTACATGATTGCTGGAAGAATCCACAATATCCACATGGCAACAAGAACCTCTTAGGACAAGTACTTGTTTACAGAAACGCATTAAATGGAAGTAGATCCACTTCTGTTTGTTCATCAATATGCCTTTTTATGTACAAATTAGGGATGAACCAATACCGCTTTTTCGGTCTCAAGTCTCGTCCATACCGAGTACCGATATCAGTGTTTCCACTGGCATGGAGCCAGCTTCCCGGGCAATCAGGAAGCCGGGCAGCGGGTAATGACACACCGCCCGGCTTCCTGATTTCCCAGGAAGCCGACTCCATTTTTGGCCGGCTTAATGCTGATTGGCCAGGAAACTGGCTTGCCAGCCAATCAGCATGGAGCCGGCTTCCCACTTTATCAGGAAGCCAGGCGGCGAAAAATTACCTGCCTCCCGACTTCCTGATTAGCCAGGAACCTGACTCCATGCTGATTGGCTGGAAAGCCATCTTCCCAGTCAATCAGCATGGAGCCGGGTTCCTGACCAATCAGGAAGCCGGGAGGCAGGTCATTACTCGCCGCCGGACTTCCTGATTGCCCGGGAAGCCGGCTCCATGTTCCCCTATGGCACTGCTGGTCAGGGGAAATCTTCCTCTGACCCCAAGTTTCGGTATCGGGGAAGGTACGAGTAATCACCCAAATACTAGTATCGGTATCTGTGCATCCCTAGTACAAATTATAAGAAACACCACATTAGTGTTGATAAAGGGGCAAAGCATTGCAGAGGAGCAGCTTCTATTTTTTGCCAGTATCATAACTGAGAAGGATTCCATTGCCGAGTGCAAACTAGAAATCTTCATAACTGAATGATGGACATATTTCAGGTGACGGATACTTTTTCATTTTCCATTTGGTGATTTTAAAGCACAGACTCACCCCACACTCCAGCAGAGAGAGACTTATTTTGGTTCACTTCTTTGTCATGCTCAGGGTTTAGAGAAGGCTGTAAAACACAAAATACAAAAATGTAATCAAAGTAACATACTGCACATTCCATAAAAAAAAACCGGAAACACAAGACCTTAAGGCCTCATTCAAACGGAGCATATACGTACATGAGGCATGCAGGCCCGCAAACAGGCCGATCCCGCGAAGGACCGGTGCTGCGTGTAATCACACACAGCAGCCTGTTCTTCCCTATTGGGGGACGCGGCTGTACACGCTGGTCATCCACACACCTGAACTTGCACTTGGACGCACAATCTGATTGGAGACGCTCTTAAGGCCTTTACCTTTGCCATGCTGGTCTATCACTTTCTTTCTCATCTCTTCAGACAACCCTCTCCTTTGCATTCTCTGGTTTCTGTTCAGTGTGTTGCACACAATGATACCAAACAGCAGAATTACTTTCTCTATTAAAATAAGCTGATTGATTATAAGATTGAAGGCACGTTTGATACGAATTACCGAAAACAGTTAGTTTGAAATATCTTGATGATCCAGTTACGTATAATGTATATTTCTAGTGGTGCCCAGGCCAGTGGAATAAGCCATGGTTATCTTTTTTCACACTTTCTTTGCTTTCCTCAGACATACCAAAGCAATGCAGGTATACATGACAATTGATTTTAATTTCATCACTTTCCAGGTGGAATAAAGCATTGTTTCAATCATCTGCAAGGTGGCCAATAACTGTGCACGTCTGTACGTAGTTAAATATTTTCTCCAGTAAATATTAAATATGACTATTATGTAGTCATTTATCCAGCCAACAAGTGCAGCCTCTAGGCTCCTTTTTCTGCTCTCTCTCCCTATCATGTGTTGAGTAAAAATTGATATTTATAAGCTGAATTGATGGAATCAGGGCACAGACTCCTTATCTCTTACGAGGTGGCTCAGTTCCAGCATTCAAGGAGAGTCACCTCTTGATCTTGTCAGAAATCCTGTTAGCTGATAACGTCCTGCACTCTCTGCCTCTACTGACTGTCATCAGCAACATTGTTCATAGCCATCTTTGTGGACTACAGAACGTCTCCCCTTTATGTTATGGAGAATAGGAAAGGGGAAGAGTTTTTTTAAGCCTCTCCGGTTTCTTTTGTCCTGATGCAGGAAGGTGAGTGACTGAAAGTGTGTTACATGCAGAATCACCAGGTAAAAATAAATGGAAAAGGCCACTACATCCAAGGACTGGCAAGTTGCAACATATTCCATTTTGGTTTTGGATTTAGATATACTTTAAGTATTGTTCATACAAACACAAAAATATATATATTTGAACTATATAAGAAAGAAAATACCAGTCTAGTTTTCAGGCAGCAGATGAAAGCATCCAATAAGCTAATGAAGCTATCAAGTAATAAAACTGTGCTAAAATCAAAACTTATTTTTAGTTTTGGATTGAATGAGGAAAGGGAAGGGATGCACCGATACCGATACTAGTATCGATATTGGTGCCGATACAGAGTATTTGGGTGAGTACTCGTACTCGCCCAAATGCTCCGATGACTAGCCCGATACTTCCTGTATCATGAAGCCGGGCAGCGTGTCATTACATGCTGCTCGATTTCCCGATTGGCCGGGAAGCAGCTCCATGCCCTCTCGTCACTTGTGATTGCCATTTATTTGACGGCACAGACCTGGAGTAAGTAGGTGTACTGGAATCTCCAGCTTGGCTTTGACCCAGTAAATGACTGTGACCCAAAGCATTGAAAAGACACCTAGGAATCTAGCATTTTTAGAAGGTCAGCAATTGCGGCCTCTATCTCTTACAGTACAAGTGTAGTAGTACAGTGGTTTTGTACATGCTTTATTTATTAGGGCTGCAACAACTAAATCGACAATCGATTATTGAAAAAGTTGTCAACTTTTTCAATCATCGATTAATCGGCTTCCGATTGGTTGGCCCTGTTCACGGTTCCACACACGCTGCACGCCACACCTCCTCACCCCCTCACACTCGCCGCTGCCAGATCCGCTCGCATCCCCGCTCCACACGCCGCACCTCCTCCCCGCCTCACGCTCACTGCCCGCCCAAATCCACGATCAGCACAGGGACGTGGGGAGAAGAAGTAAGGAGGAGCAGGTGTGGGGGGATGACAGCCGCCGATAGACAGGCCCGATCTCAGAAACAAGTTGCTGGGAGACTGCTCAGGTAAGACTGCACTTTCCCACACATGGTTCTCTATAATGTATTGCTGGGATTTGTATTCCTCTATAGCGGATGGTACATGGTGCTGTATATTATACAAAGGACTACAAATCCCAGCAATACATTATACACTGTATGTATAATGTATTGCTAGGATTTGTTGTATTCCTCTATAGCTGGTGGTATTCTGCATTGCGCTGTATAGAGGACTACAAATCAAGGAATAATACATTATATAACGCAATGCAGAATAACACCAGCTATAGAAGAGTACAACAAATCCAAGCAATAGTACATTATACAGTGGTGCAATGCCGAATACCACTCGCTAGAGAGGACTACAACACCTAGCAATACTACATTATACAACGCAATGCAGAATACCACCAGCTATAGAGGACTACAAAACCCAGCAATAGTACATTATAAAGCGCAATGCAGAATACCGCCAGCTATAATGTACTATTGCTGGGATTTGTTGTATTCCTCTATAGCTGGTGGTATTCTGCATTGTGCTGTATAATGTACTATTGCTGGGTTTTGTAGTCCTCTATAGCCGGTGCCATTCTGCATTCATTGCTGTATAATTTTACACTTTCCATTTCACTATATTGCACACCACACTATCTTTTTTTTCTTTTTTACTTCCACCGCTCCAAGCTTGCTCCTGTGATGGACTGCAATCTCAATAAAAACTAGTAGTCCCATCACTGGAGAAATTTTTTAAAATGTATTTTATTTTTTAATCCGATCAACCGATTAATCGAACTTAATAATCGGCTAACTAATCGATTTTGAAAATAATCGTTAGCTCCAGCTCTATTATTTATTATGGCAAGATCTAAAAAAATTACATGATAAAATAGGATTTTTTTAGTCACTATAAAAACCTTTTCTTGGACTGCATTGAGGAACACAGGAAGTTTTTAAAACAGCAGAGCTGAAGAACAGATGTCCATACTCCTAGGACACTAGGAAAAAACTAAGGCATACTGGTGGTAGGAAGGGTTATCACTGTCTGGCCTAGAATTTTTCGTTTGCAAGTGTCCAATCTTCCTATAGGCAGCAGTACAAGCCGAAGCTCAAAGACTTCCTGTGTCCCGCAATAGGAGAACAACTTTTTTTATAGTCCGGTAAATATAAAATATTGCATATATAATTAGTATGCTTTCTTCCATCAAGCCAACAGGTGGAATTCTTGGCCACACAAGACAGTGTCAACACCAAGATTCATGGTTTTCTCACTATCTACTCACAAAATCTTCAGCTTCAAATTGCTTGCGTCTTTCACGATCTTCTTTTCGTGTTGCTTCATTCTCTAAAGAGCTACCTTCGCGATGTCCATGGGTTTTACTTCCATGGAATGTGCTACTTCGAGAGCGGGAGCCCGTACCATTAAATGTACCGCTATGATTTACGTTCTCCGATCCGTTCCTGCCCTGTGAGCGCCACCCATTCTTTTCTTTTCTTCCAAAATTACCTTCAAACAGAATAGAAGACGGCAATGGTAGCTTGTGTGGAGACATGCACGTTTAACAATTCAGTAAGATGACAATTTTCATAACATTATAAAGCGAATGTTTTTGCTGTTTGCTAAAATGATTTTGGTTCCTCCAGCAAAATCCAGCAGAACTTCAAGGTCAAGCATGTATCAGTGTACACAGGAAGAATTTTTGTTGACAGAAAAGCCTTTGCAGCCTTCTTCACAGGCCTGAAACGACCATGCAGAAAATTAAAGTCAGATATTTTTTCTCTGTAGTCAGTGAAAGCCCCAAAAACATGGAAGCCAGCACAAAATGATAGCCAGGTAATGCAATCCAATAAAACAGCCTCTCACTGCCAATCTTCACCCGCTGGGTGAAGATTGTTAGTGTGCCGCCGTTGTTTGGATTGCATTTGTTATGGAGTATGGACACTTCACAGGTCAGCACCTGCAAGGAAACACAAGCAGTGGAACTGCGATGAGGAAAGAGCGGTGGAAGTCTCTCTGCATTCATATGACAGCCAGGAACTTGCATTTTTCAGACAGAACGGTCAAAAATGGCAGCCCACATAGGTCTCTCATGAGGAGTGTACTTTAAACTAAACATGTGTTAGGATTGAATTATTGTAAATTAACTTTTAGTGGCGGGTGTTCCGAGTTGCTGCCTGACCTCACATGCTGAACTCTGAAGATGGGAGACAGTAAGTGAGGTCAAGCAGGTGACAGGTCAGAAACTTGCAGACTTTGGATATCAAACTAATATTAAATATACCTCCATTTGAACGACCAAGAGAAGCATCAAATGCATCAGACGAGTTGTGACGTCTACGGGTCACGCTGTAGCGGCTGTCTGGATGTGCCCCATTGTCAGAATGTTTGTCACTGCCTAAAAAGGTCTGTAGGAAAGAAACATAAAGAAAACTTCCAATTAGAGATGTATTTAAGAGGAATTAGAAAAACAAATAACTCAAATTTCAATCATCACTGGAGGAAAAGACAATACATAATATCCACCCCTTACGGGCTAATCGTCTCAATGTAACAGGTCAGTTTTGCTTCATTAAAATACATATTTATTTTACCATGTTCCTCGCCTTCATCATTTTTGTGAAACACACACTTCCAAACCAGAGTCCAGCCTTTGCTCAGCCTCAGTGGGAAGGGGCAGTGGGCACGGTTATCTAGCAAGTCTTTTCATTGAATCGGGCAACCACATTTCCCAAAAAAACATTTCCGCATAGTGGGGCGTTTAAGTGGGAGTGTCATGGAAAGTCCTTTGAGTGGGTTACTGATGGAACTGACTGACAGAATCTGCATGTAATGGATAGGGAATATGCATCGGAAGAATTAGAGCCAGTGACTACAACGTCATGACATCATGTTGTAGTCTCTGATGGATGTAAAGTGTGACAACAAGCTATTTTAATTCATGGGTAGGTAGTGAGAATTTACTATACTTGTCAAGTAAACAAAACACCAAGGGGCTGCTGTATGAAACTTCACTCCTAGGTTCCATCTAGTGACCATAATCTTGTGTGAACAGGATATGCCCAGTTGGGAGGAAGTTTTATACATCAGCCCCTGATATAGGTGTGTAGTTGTATTGTTGAATTACATGGATTATTTAAAAGCGATATGAAAGTCATAAGATTTTTAAAGGAGCACTATGGGGTCAGTGCTTTTCCCCATAGTTCTCCTTAGGGTAGCGGGGAGGACACAAACTAGCGTCCTCCCGTCACCCAAAGCTCAGTATACCGCGAGCTACAGCTCCCGGTATACTGAGACGCCGCAGCCGGGATGGATCCCGACATTACTGTCTGGATCCACCCAGCTGCGTGAGTTACAGCTGTACCCCAGTAGAAAGGTATCATGGCACACTCACAAACCAGCATGCAAAACAACTTGTCTCACCACTAAGGTTAATAACAGAGGTTTGGATACACGTCTTCTGCAGAAAATGTGAAAGCCGCACAGCCGCGCCAAGGCACCTCCTTATAGTGCGGTCCTAACTCTAAACTATGAGAGTCTCCATCTTGGAGCACATGGAGGCAGAACATTTCAAATTGGGTGCAGGTTTGTCAGGAGGAAGCCCAACCTCCTTAAAAGGCACAGGAACTGTTTTGCTTTACAGCTGTAACCGCCCCATCTGTTCCGCCAGTCACCGCTGGAGGATCGGACAGGAGAGGGGGGAAATCCCTGCAGGGAGCCGTGAGTGACAGTCACGGCTCTCTGCAGGGACAGGATCGAGAAGTGAGCGAGCGACGGCATGTGTTCGCTCACTTCCCGATCTATTGAACCGACCTGTGACAGTTTCATTGTCACAGGTCGGCTAGAACTATGAGGCCAAGTGATTTTCACTCGCCTCATAGTTCTCCTTTAAGCCATTTCAAATGCTGATAAATTCACTTACAATGGATGCTGCTCTTTGATGGCTAAAAGTGTGCAGAATCAGCTGGTCCCCTGAGCACTGGCCCCGATATCCTGTTTTAGGGTGGCTCCTTTCCCTTGCAGGGTCTTATGGAGACACCCTTGTGTATACAAGTAAGCTGTGTGTGTCTCCACACCCACAGAGGCACAGCAAGGCCATCCACTCCACTGCTCCCCCCTCCCTCCCTTCTCCAGACTAGTACATGGACAGCTACTGGAGACTTCTTGGAAAGGACAGGAAGTTCAGGGAATCAGAGTTGAAGCTGTTTGGAACCACGGTGACTGCTAGTGTTTGATCAAAAATTAAAAGAAACACTTTGTTGGGCAATGTATACGTGTTTGACGTGGATTCATTATATTTAAGCTGGGATCTCTGTGATAAACCAGCTCTACTCAAGGTTTCAAATGATCTGAAATGAAGAAACGGACAACTCTCTGCTCCCCAAGGAGATGTATGTATCCTGCTGCAATCTCTGAACTGTAAAGGGGGGGGGGGGGGAGCAGAGAACCGCCCCGCCTAGTTTTTTGGGTTTCCTGTGTCCAGTGAAGATTTGACATCAGGTGTCTAAAGCCAAAATGTATTTTTTAGTTTTAAATAGATTTAGTTAGAAGCCGTCTGTTTTGCCCTCCATCACCAGTTTGGAAGATCCCCCCTCCTGACTTCCTCACCCAGAGACACAAAAGGAAGTGACAGGAAAGCTCCATAGTAAATGGCAATCTTCTTTTAGACAGTTGTCATCAGAACAACATTTCCCCTCTATTACAGTTTAAATAGCCTTTTTTTCTGACTATCTGGAGAGTATGCTGGGGATATTTTGTGTTCCCTGTATGGCCTTGCCCCTGTGCACCTTTCATTTTCCTAGATCCAAATTTATCTGAGCAGCTGCCATTTCTGCTTTGTTGACACATACTGGTGTCATTGAGCCTGGCCTTTCGGTGTGAGGCTACCTCCAAAGTATACCTGATTTCAATTTATGCATTGCTATATATACACACACCGATTAGCCATAACATTTTGTAGGTCTCCCTTTTGCTGCCAAAACAGCCCTGACCCATCGAGGAATAGATGCCACTAGACCCCTGAAGGCATTCTATGGTATCTGGCACCAGATCCTTAAAACTCTTGTAAGTTGTGAGGTGGGGCCTCCATGGATCAGACTTTTTTTTCCCGTACTATAGATTATTTTTGATTGGATTGAGATCTGGAGAATTTGGAGGTCAAGTCAACACCTCAAACTCATTGTTGTGTTTCTCAAACCATTCTTGAACCATTTTTGTAGTGTGGCAGGGCGCATTATCCTGCTGAAAGAGGACACTGCCATCAGGGAATACTGTTTCCAAGAAGGGGTGTACTTAGTCAGCAATGTTTACATAGGTAGTGCAATGTTTACGTAGGTAGAGTCAACATGGGCACCCTGACCATTCTGCGGCTACACGTGATGAACTGCATGTTCAAAAGCAGGGTTGCCTTGTCGCACTCCTTGCTGGAGATCCCCAATCCAGAA